TGTGTGTGTGTGTGTGTGTTACGCTGCGGTCGCTGCCTCCGCAGCGGCCGTCTGCTCAGCCAGCGACTCGATGAGCCTCTCGATGGCGACGAGGTGTTTGGTCTGGTGCGCGCTCGACAGCCGCCTTGCGCTGAGCAGGCTCGGCTGCACCGCCTCGACGAGCCGCGCGCGCTGCGCCCCATCCGCCTTCTCCAGAAAGCGCTGCAGCACATAGTTGGCAAACTGGTCCTTCATCATCAACACCGCGGGTGCGATCTTGGTCGTCTGCTGTGCCGCCTCGGCGTCCGCCCCTGCCGAGGGCACTTGTTTGGGCGTGAGGATCTCGTCGACCAGCGCGTCCAGGTCCGCGGCGGACGACGTGCGGATGACCTCCTCGATCACGTTCGATGCAAACTTGTGCCTGCTCAGCGTGAGCACGTTGCCGCGGATCTTGGCGATGACCTGGGCGCGGTCGTTTGGCTGGCCGCGCTGCAGCACCCACTGGATCACGTAGTTGCCGTACTGGTGCTGCATGAGCGCATACGCCTCGTGGTGCAGCTCGTCGAGCAGCGGCCGCGCCTGCGCCTCGGTGCAGTGCTCAAATGCACGCTGCAGCACCCGGCACGAGTAGCAGTGGCTCGCCAGCCCAGCCACGTGCCCCACAAACGCCTCGGGGATGAACGCCACTTCGCCCGCATCCACGCGCTCGATCACCTTCTGCACCACGTGGTTCGCGTTCTGGTCGCGCACGCACTGCATAATGTGGCCATCGAGCTCCTTGGCCAACTTCTCGCGCTGCTCGGGCGCAATGAAGTCGAAAGCCTTCTGCACCACCCGGCAGCCGTACGTGCCGAGCGAGAGCGAAAGCACGTTGCCCTCCATCTCGCGCGCCAGCACCGCCCGCTGCTCGTCGTCGCCGTGCTCGAGCATCTTTTGGATAACGTAGTTGCCAAACACATCCGTCATGAGCTGGCGCGCGTGCGGCAGCACCTCGTCGAACAGCGTCTTCTTCTCCTCGGCGCTCGCGCTGTCGAGCTTCTCCTGGATGAATCGGCTGCCGTGCTGGTCGCCGCTGAACTCCACCACGCTGCCGTAGATGTCGGCCAGCTCGAACTTGCGGTTCTTCGAGTGCCGGCTGCGGAACTCTTCCAAGAGCGCACTTCGCGTCTGCGTCGCTGCTCCGCCTGCACCTCCGCCGCCGCCGACGCCAGGTGCATAGGGAGCACCGTAGAACTCGGGCCCGTTGCGTGCAAAGTGCATGTCCACCGGGCTGCCTCCGAACGCGCCCACGGGGCCCATCATGCCGCCCGGCCCCGTCGGCATGCGACGGTGGTCGAAACGGCCGTTCCAGGCCATCATCGAGCCGTGTATCGGTGCACCGCCGATCACGCCGTGCATGCCCGGCTGGCCCGGCACAAAGGGCCCCGCCTGGCCCGTCATCGCAAACGGAGGGCGTGGCGACATGGCCAGAAGCGGAGGACCGAAAGGCTCGGACCCTGCCGAGCCCATCCTACGGTGGTCAACGGGCGAGTAGGGCGAAGCCTGCGCCAGGTTGGGTGACTGCCTGCTGTCGGGCCCGCTCGGTGGCATGGGCGGGCTGCTT